GAAATGCGTTCGGAGTTAGTCGCTCACTAATGTGTAAGCTTATTTTTTGCTTTGTAAGACTTGTCTATGCTTTGTAAGACTTTTCTATGATTTGTGAGACTTTCCTATGCTTTGTAAGCTTATTACCATTATCAGTATTACTAGTTTTACACGTATTCCTTAATTAGTAATACCAGTTTTACTAGTATTACCAGTATTACCATTATCAGTATTACTAGTTTTACCCGTATTCCTTAATTAAATTTATAAAACTAACTTAACAAATCCAAATTCAAATCCTAACAAGACAAATCCAAAACAATTAACATAACAAATCTAAGTTCAAATCCAAACATCAAAGAGACAAATCAGTCAACCAAGCTGTCTCTTGCTCCGAGTCGTCATCTTGGTTACTTGTGGGTCACCATCCTTCTCTTGGGTTGTATCTTTTGGGTCACCATCCTTCTCTTGGGTTGTCTCTTCCGGGTCACCATCCTTCTCTTGATTATTCTCTTCTTGATCCTGCAATTGAACAAAGTTATACCACAGTATTACTCAGTTATACCAGTATTACAAATCGTACCTTTCTCTTATCTACTTTCTGCGCCTCCCTGAATGCTTCCAACGATTTAACTCTTTTATCCAACGAGTTAACTGTATCATCCAACCCTGAAATCATTACTAGGATTTCATTCAGCTGATCTGTCATCCCAACTTTCATGTCTTGAATCATCTCCACCACAGCAGCCAAACTCGGGAGTTCTTGTCCATCTACTGCGGGAATATCCTCACCACCTGCAATCTCTGGTCCTGCGATGATTCCTCGGGCCTGTAGATCCTGTTGGTACAGCTCTTCAAACCTGATTAGACGGCCCTCTTTATGACGCTTCAACCAACTTTCCACCACCGGATCAGCTATGTCAACGTCGTCTTCTTCTTCCGTGATTGCTCTCATAAGTGCGTGCTCTTCAATTCTAGGTGAGACGATACAATCAATGACCTATAAACATAAACAAATATGGATTATTATAATTAAATAGAATAGCAAACGTTTCATAAAACAGAATATATAGGACAACTAACCTGAGTTGTACCCAATTCATGATTAATAGTATCAAGAGGAATGCCTTTCAAATGGTTCTTCTTGAACTTCACCTTGCACATCCTAGGACATCCCTCATCTGCTCCTGCAATGTCCTCAATGAATTTTTCCCTCAACAGTGGGATTGCCTCGAATGCAAGAAGCTACAGAATAAAAAAACATATATTTAGATTCAACAGTAATACCAGTATTACTAGTTTTCTAATATGCAGTATTACCAGTATTCCTATAATAAACAGTATTCCTAATAAATAGTATTCCCAGTATTACCAGTATTCCAAACAATCACCAATTACTATAACTTGTAACTAACCTCTATCGGAAGACAGAAACCCGCAACCGGCCATATGTACTTCTCGTTGTTGGTGACAACACCATTAAAATGATCCATCGTGTGTGCGATGGTTTGTAACATGTAATCAAAAGAATACCTCCCCCATTGAAAATTCTTACAAAACGCAAGATCATTTACAGCCTTTAGACACAATTCATCCACTTCAGGTGCCTTCTCCCCGGTCTTAATAGGCGCTACAATAATGCTGGTTAGGAAATAGAGGACCATCATCCTCAACCTATCTTTAGATCTTTCACCCTTTGGTACCATTTTTAAGAGCTTCTCTCTCACGTCTTCACGTTTCACAACAGCATTCTTGAAATGCTTCGTCTTGAACACCGTACTTCCCACATTTTTATACCCAAGTGCATAGTTTTTGCAATTGAAGCCTGATATCAATGCATGTTCCGATATACCATATCGGATTGGAACGCCATTGACGATGAACCACACTTCCTTCTTCCTTTCAATGCGCGCTGTGTGAAGAAGGAGCATCCACATTCCCATAACTCGGTGGTTTGGATCTCTTGGCATGTGGAAGACGTGTTGGAAACTCGGATGATTCTCAAAAAATGCCCTCTCAGACTTGCTCATCGGAGGCTCCAACTTATCGAATGTAGTCAACACTTCGTGAATATAGCACCGTGTTGATAGCTTGATTTTCTTCACATATTCCGAAGGCGGGAAATACATACTCAGCGGTGGTATTGCTTCTGTTTCCTCGTCGATCTCCTGCAACAAAACAGACATTCATTCATATATCATTATTCTGCGAATAGTATTACCAGTATTACCCTAAAATATACACATAGTTGTACCCCAGTAATACCAGTTTCACCAGGAATTCAAACACATAGTTATACCCTAGTAATACCAGTATTACCCAGAAATCAAACATATAGTAATGCCCTAGTATTACCAGTTATACCCAGAATTCAAACACATAGTATTCCCAGTTCTACCAGTTATACCAATAACCATAGAATTCAAACACACATTATACCTCAGTTGCAATAGTTTTACCCTGTTCTACCAGTAGTACCCACATATACACATAGTTTTACCCTGTTCTACCAGTTTCACACCATTCAAATACTTACCATCGCATTTTCCGGCTGATTTTCTGGCGCAATCTCATCCTCCTCATTATCATTCTCATCAGAGGAGGACTCTCCGCCCAAAGATCTACTACCATCATCATCGGAGGACTCCTCTCCTTCCTCATTCCCTTCTTCTTCTTTCTCTTCTTCTTCGCTCTCTTCTTCGCCACTCTCTTCTTCCTCATTCTTCTTTGAATTTTCTTCCTCATTCTTGTCAGACTCTTCTAAAACCGGACTTAATGTCTCTGGGACTTGTTGTTCTCCCTCAATTGCCGTCGGGGATGGCTCCTCCGTCGAGCCTGGCTCCACCGTCGTTGTGGTGGATGGCTCCACCGTCGGGGATGGCTCCTCCGTCGAGCCTGGCTCCACCGTCGTTGTGGTGGATGGCTCCACCGTCGGGGATGGCTCCTCCGTCGAGCCTGGCTCCACCGTCGTTGCCTTTGTTAATCTCTTCCTCTTTAACCCTTTCTTTGGAGGCATTATCGGAGAGGTTTCGAAACGGGATACAAGAAACGAGAAAAGGAATCAATAAAGTTGGAAGATGATTTCGCAATCTCTCAACTACAGTTTCTGGGAAGATTTGAAGAGGAGAGGAAGTCGGAGCAAGAGAATCTCCAACGGTTAGGGTTTGAGAAATTGAATTGGGGAGAGAAATCTCGTTTTCGATTTCAAAAACAAAAGAAAACGTAAAGAATATGGGTGGGTTGAGAATGGATCGGGTCTGGTTCGAATAGATCCAGGTTTTAGCAGTAATATTGAGGTTTTGGTTGGGGTATATCAGTAATATCCATAGTTTTCGATTTAATTTTAAATAAAAATAAAATTGTGTTTTATTAGGGGAGATATGAGACGATGCTTGGACAAAAAGGGACTCACGAGACAATTTCTCACATCAAAGCTCAACGAATCAAATAGTATACACAGTTTAGTAAAATCTTAAACACCTATAAAACCCCTTGAATCAAAACCCAAGTTGACGCATATGAAAACGCCCAATTTTACAGATCTCGATAAGAATTCAAACACCAAACGTTTCAATTACAAAACCGAGATGGGAAATTTTTCGAAAAACACCAAACGAACATAATTTGAGAAACAAGAAAAATAATAAGAGCTTACATTTTTAGAGATCATATATCGGTTAGGCTAGATTGGTTTAAGTTGGTTTAGCTTTAGTTTCGGTTTAGTTGATGTATTTAAGAATTCTTGTATAGTTCATTGACACTTGAATGAAGCATAATCATAATTGAAAGGGAAAGTTTGTTAGATCTGAAATGGTATCGGAGCATTTTTTTTCTTCTGCAAACTTTTCTTCGTCAAACTTCCAAGTTAGGCTGTGAATTTTTTGGCAATGGAGTTAGGTATTGTTTGTTTGATAGTTATTAAGAATTTGATCATCTGGATCTGTTCTAAGATAGGGGGAGATACAATCAAGTAATCCCAATGTTTTGGTTATTCTGGTTCATGGCAGCGATGATTATGATCTTCAATTGTTCTGGTTTCACTATTTTTTGTGAACTTGGTGCCATAATGTTACCTGTTGTTAAGCCTCCTTGTCGAAACAGAAGATGGATGTGCCTTTATTGAGGTGTTGTGTGTTGATCAACTGTTTGTCATGCACATCAAGCATGGATTTCAAGGACTTACAGAGTTGATTAAGAAGATGGAAGTATCATCTAAGCAATGTTGACTTGCTGGCTTGTCTTTGTTATTCCAAGTTTCATTCTCAAGTTCAAGAATGTATGGGAAGACTAGAGAAGCTGCTCACTTACTGCAGTTGTGTGTTAAATTCTGGTTTGTTTTCAACTGATATTTTCATGGCCGGATATATCCGCAAGCATCCCTTCACCAAGTTCTGGTCCAAACCAGAGGAAGTTTTGGGTTTCTATTTGGCTATGAAACATTGTAGTTTACACATCTCTGGTTTGTTTAACTTTCTCTTGATGAGCGAAAGGTCATTGCAGAGGCTGGTTTGTGGTTGATGGTTAGTTGAATTTGGTTTTGGAAAGAGGATGCTTGGTTAAAAGAGATAAGATCCTTCACTTGTCTACGGCTTGTTACTCCTATGGCTGGTTCCTGATGTTTTTTTTTTTTGCTACAAAACCATGGAGACTTCCAGTTTCTTTGAGCAGTATTCTTTACTTGTAATACTCACCAGTTTTATCAAGCTCATCTTGGATTCAAGCCACTCACGTCAAATAAGATCTATCAAGTTCACATGAATGTTTCTCTCATCGAGAAGGTTATGGAGGATACACTAATGGAGTTTTCAAGTCCAAGATGAAAGTTCCTTGATACTTTCATCTTGAGGGGGAGTTTTAGAGATCATATATCGGTTAGGCTAGATTGGTTTAAGTTGGTTTAGCTTTAGTTTCGGTTTAGTTGATGTATTTAAGAATTCTTGTATAGTTCATTGACACTTGAATGAAGCATAATCATAATTGAAAGAGAAAGTTTGTTAGATCTGAAATACATGAAACCGTAGATGACGACAGAGCAAAGAGAAAAGAGGCAAATCGGTGACAATCGAGTTCTTGAGTTATTAAGTTCTCTGTCAATAAATAATTGAATTCTCTGAGTCTCTAGAATTTCTCTGTCAATAAGGAAGTGAAATCTCTGTCTCTGTCTCTGTCTCCCCTGATTTGTTCCTCGACTACGAGAAGAGAAAAAAACAGAAGAGAAGAATATATATATATTGGTAATCGAAATTTTTGGACTCTCATTCCTTATTATTCGGGCAGCTGGATATGGAGAAAATTATGCAAGTTACGATCTGTAGCTAGACCATTTGTGGTTTGTGAGATTGGCTCAGGTATGACTGCGAGCTTTTGGCAAGACAACTGGACTGGTTTAGGCCCTCTTATTGATCTCACTGGCCCCACTGGTCCTCAGGTGATCGGACTGCCTCTAAAAGCTGTGGTAAGAGAGGCGCTTGAGAGTAATGGTTGGAGGGTCACAAATAGTCGCAGCAGGAATCCTGTCATCTCTCTCTTAAGAAGTGCCTTGCTGGAGGTTGGAAACATGCGGGAGTGTGTGGATGATGATGTTTTCTTGTGGAAGACTGATCATCATCCTCCTTCATGCCTTTTTTCTTCACTTAAAACCTGGCTGGCTTTAAATCCTCTTGATAACCCTGTCGCTTGGCATAAATCTGTATGGTTTAAGGATCGCATTCCAAAGCATGCGTTTATTTGTTGGGTTGTTGCTTGGAACAGATTACACACAAGGGATAGACTTACGAGCTGGGGTCTCTCTGTCTCTCCTTTCTGTGTTCTATGCAATGCATGCCATGAGTCTCGGGATCATTTGTTCTTTGAATGTGTGTTCAGCCAAGAGGTTTGGATGTTTTTCACTTCGAGAGCAAATCTGACTCCTCCCTCCTCTTTCATGGCGTCTCTTCTCTGGATTAAGACTGTTTCCAGGGACTCAAACCTATCACTCATATTGAAGCTCATCTTCCAGGCTGATATATATCTCCTTTGGAAGGAGAGAAACAGTCAGATTCACTCTTCTACTACTAGACCTCCTGCCTCGATCATAAGAGACATCTATGTGATGTTAAGGGCGCGTCTCGATCCTCTTTCCCGGATTCAGCTGGCCGCCGCCCCTGGTTCTTCATTGCTTTCGACTTGGTTCCGCTTCTTTGGGTAAGGTTTCTCTTTCCCTTGTGAGCTGCCTGTTTGGTTTTGGGTTGTTGTTCCTCTGGTTTTTTGTTGCTGGTTGTTGGTGTGTTGTGGACCTGCGTGTCCCTTTGTTGGGCCTCCTGGCCTTGTATTTTTTCGGGGTTTAAATTTCGGGCATGGGTGCCTATGTTGGGCCTGTTAGGCTTGTAACTGTTCTGCTTTTAATGGAAATTTAAAATTAAAAAAAAAACAAAAAAACAAAAAAACAAAAATATATATATTTATATATATATATAGTGTTTCAACGAGAATTGTCATAGTACATTTGGTAACGAGATGTACTCGGTATTGGAGGTCGTCGTTTCGAACCTAGGAAGTCTACTTTTTAAAACCTTTTAATTTTAAATAAAACGGCTGTCGTTTTACTTTACAGATTTTTTCGTAAAACACTGTCGTTTCATCTATCTATGTGGCATCCCAGTCAGCTACGTTAACGAGATAATTAACGGGAAAAATCCCGAAAAAACCGCCATCTAATTTTTATTTGGCCGTTTAATACATGTAGTATTAAATTTGGAATAAAAATACTTATTTTAATTTCGGTTGCTTTTTAAAACCTTTGTTTTTTAAAAATTGGTAAAATTGTACCTCCGAGTTAACGACTGTTAACTTTGCTAACGGAAGCACTAACTGCGGTTAAAACTTAACCCAAGGTGTTTAAGCATATATATACAATCTTGTTTCTGCAGAATTCGAATATGTTATCTTAGTCAGATGGTTAAACGTGGGTTGACTATCCTTCTGGACCTTGGTTCGAACCACCCCTCTGTCTCTTTTTTCTTTAATTTTTGTTTGCTTCAATTTTTTTGCTCGCATCCCAATCACCGACGGGACTGGAACTTGCTGAGATTGGTGGATCAAAGAAAGGATGCAAATTCAATGCAAAACCCTAACTTTTACAGTTTCTTCGATTTCTTCTAACCAAAGCTACCACCATTACCATCTTCAACCACTTTACGGTCATTGAATCCTCCACTCCCGAGTTTCAGAAAATCGAAGAAATTTTTACCAATTTCCTAAATCATGGAATACCACTCCCGATGTTACCAATTTTTTTAAAACGAAGGTTTTAAAAGATAACCAAAATTAAAATAAGTATTTTTATTCCAAATTTAATACTACATGTATTAAACGGCCAAATAAAAATTAGATGACGGTTTTTTCGGGTTTTTTCCCGATAATTAACGGCATCTATAGATTTGTTGGTTTCGACCACATTTTTATAGTTTATGTAGTAAATTCAAATTACAAGTTAGTTCATGTAGTTATAAGCACACTTCAAAGTTTTGTGTATAAATACGATAAAGCAATTAAGTTCGTGGGGGAATTGGCCGTTTCCCCTGACTTTGAATCCCAAAACAACCACACAAATCTAGACAATAAATCTGACCGAGAGCAAACAAAGAAGTTGATTACTATCGTCTATGAGAAACAATACATAGTTGTCATTAATCTGTGCCTTATGTTATGTAATATATGTGCCCTTATTGCCAAAACTACTTTGTAATTATTATTTTTTGAATAAAATGTATAATTTATTCGAAAAACTTTTTTACAACAAATGCATCGTTAGATTAAACGTTTGTAGCCAAAATTTTCAACAAAGACTATATTCTTAGTGTGTTTATCTTGAGGCAAACCATGTGTTCATGCATTCCTCATATCTTCTATTCCTCGTATATTCTTAGTGTGTTTATTTCGAACTTGTTTGTCAAGACTGCGTAGCAAATGAGTTGGAGGAGTTGCAGCTTCGCCATGCCCCCGGCAGTTTCGCTACTTCCAAATTGAGTATATTTTATAATTATTTGAGATACGAAATTTTAGCTAAAGCTACAATTTCCTAAATTTCTCACTATCCTGTTCCGAAGAAATTATTCGGTGTGTGTGGTATTCCATGATTGTTTGCTTTGTAAGCATAATCTTTAACTCGTATTTATGCAACACCGAGACGGATACGAAGACTAAAAACAAGGACAAAATGGAAACAGAATACAACTAAACAGGAACAATTAAAATACGGGAGGGAAATAAATAGATAAGAAAAATATTTATATTTTGAAGATATATAAAAAAAAAAGTCATACATAAATACATAAGTCTCAACATAAAAAAAAAACCTTACTTTGACTTAATTCGGTTATGTATGGAAAGATATAAATAAAAGAGAATATTACTCTGTGAGACACAATTTTCAAACTCATTTTCCCTCTAGAGCAGTTAAGGGGTAGTGGGCAGTTTTTTAAGTTTTTTACCAAAAACCCCCTGAAACTGACATTAACCATAGTTACATATCTATGGTTATCTATTAAAAATATTAATTTTTACAGTCTTAGAAAATGTATCCCGTAACCATGACCTAGAAAACTCTATTCCGGCGAGTAAAAGAAACGGCGGTGAAAAATCTTCACTTCTCCACCTCTGTAAACAAACTTCAGGTCCTGTAAATTCTAAAATTCAGCTCCAGTTCGTCAAGAGTATCCGATAATTCTAAACCCAGTTCGTCGACCGTGACATAAATTGAAACTCGATTCCCTGGAGAAAAAAACGGCGGTCATCTTCTCCGTTTCTCCACTTCTCCACTTCTCCACTTCTCAAAAGTATCAATGACAGGTAATCGATATCTTATTTTATTTGATCTCACTTTATATTCTATATTTTCATCAATACTTGTCAACTTATTTGCAGGTGCTGCGGAAGAAGCGGCAATTGCCTGGGATTTGAGACTCCCTCCAAGGCTTTTTGCCACTGACCGTTACCCCGACGCTCGTCTGAATATTTACTCCAGACCCGATATACTCACAGTCATATGTGATGTTCTTGAAGGTACCAAAGAAATGGAAACCATATTGGACTCGTGTTTTGGTTCTCTATTTAGTTTAAGGGTAAGTGAATGCCCAATTTCTTGCAAATTAGTTCATGCTCTGTTATGTAGACAACTGCTATCAAAACAAAAATACGAAATGTGGACGGTTTTTGGTGGACAGCCATTAAGATTCTCTTTATTTGAGTTTGGTTCTGTAACTGGGTTGCCTTGTGGTGAATTCCCCGAGGAGTATGATCCAGATTTCTTCCCTAAACGTGTGAATGGGGTGAACGATTACTGGGATGTGTTGATTGGTAAAGATAAGAATGCTACATTAGCTGATGTATCCGTTAAGTTCCAGGCATTGAAAGGGATTGAGGACCCTTTGAAACTGCCACTAGCTCTTCTGCTTATTGTTGATGGAGTCCTTATAGCCAATAATCAGACTCATCGGCCAACATATAAGTATGTGAAGATGTTGGAAAACATTGACTCCTTCCTTTCTTTTCCATGGGGGAGAGAATCTTTCTTGAAGACTATACAGGTAATGAGGCCTGGAAGAAACAAACCGTCAATGGCAGAATCGAAGAGAAAAAGGTCACGCGCAGCGTCCAAGATTGAAGATCCCATCCAACTTTTTACAAATCAGATGCAACAGCAAACTATAGCTATCTATGGCTTTCCTTTGGGCCTGCAACTTCTTGCTTATAGGAACATATCTGGTCTACTTGACAAGATTCCTGGTTCTTCAGATGATAGAACCTTCTTGGAATGGCATTCAATTGGTATTCCCAAAAACAATCTTTCCCTAAATGAAGTTCATCTCCTTGAACGTGATCCTGATGTAAGTTATTTTAAACATTTATATAGTTTTTAACTTTCATGTGTTCTCATTATTGTTTTTTGTCTGTTCAGTTGATTGTTACTCCGCTGCTTTTTGTTGACCACAACGAAGAAGGATGGGGAGATTGGGATGATGAAGTGAGAGACAAGAAAGTGCTGTATTTGATTGAGCAGATAAGGAAATGTCATGAATTCACCAAAAAAGAGTGGCCTGGTGGCTATGCTGATCTAGAGCTCATTTCTGTCAATGAAAAGGAACGTGTTGTTGAACACAAGAAACATATAGTTAACAGGAAAAGGAAACATACAGCAACTCCTTCTTCAAAGGGAACTCAATCAAAATCGAAAGTCGGTACTACAAGGCGAGGCAGGAAGCGTAAGTTTGATTTGGTTGATGATGATGAGGCAGATGATATAAAACTGTGGGTGAATTCGCAGTTGGATGCTATAAGACGTGAATTTGCGGAGAGTGTTAAGAAGTTAAGAGCTCAGAATGTGAATCTTCTGAAAAAGATCAAGGCCCTGACATCTCTGAAGATGCCAAAATTTCAATATCACAAATTCTCTCGCTCTAGACAGTCATCTTGTCCTCCATCCAGAAAAATACATAAAGCAGGTAAACACCCCATTCTGTCTGAATCTCCTGTGAAGGCTGCTGTAGATGCTCAAAACATCCGAACTCCCCCTTCAAGTCCATTAACTTCAATGCATGAGGAAGACAATTCAGCGTCAGGAGAACCTGCTATGCTTGTTGATGATATGACATGGCGTCGAATAACTTCTCAACAGTGTGGAAGTTTGTTGATGGTGTCAGGACAACCTGCTACTCTTGTTGCTTCCAAACATCGCATTTGACTTACTTTTCTTAACGCATTACACTTATCACATTTTTATCATACATGAAGGGAATTCTGGGAATACTAACATGGATTCAGTTACTTCCCCTCGAAAAAGTCTGGTAATGGGATTTTAGAATCTTTTACTCTATTGTTTCCTAACATGGATCATATCTTCTTAGATTATTAATCTTTTCAGAAAGAATCTCCATCAAGGTATTTATCTGCTGATAGCACAGAGGCTCCACAGTCTGATCAACCCATATATGACACTGAGTCTAAACTTACAGACGAGGTAAGATTTTTAGAATATCTGTCTGTACATAAAAATATTTAACTATTTTTATACCTAACTACATTTTCCACATTTTGTAATCTTACACACTAGCCTCTGTCTTCTCCTCAACTTGCTGCTGTTTATGATACTACAAAGAAACCCTCTTCTATTGATGGATCTGAGGTTCTTTTCCACTAAGGGGTTTATCAATCGTTTGAGTTTACCATAAATGTATTTTACTCATCTGGTTAATCTTTTACCACTTTCAATCTGATCTAGGAGATCAACATTGGAGACTTGGTCTATGCGGATAACGTTGACACATTGGTTCAATCAGTTTGCAAGTCTACAAGTCCTACTATTGCTGCTGCAGATGTGGATTCCCTACCATCACAAGAAGAGTTTCTTGCTGTTGATTATTCAAAGGTAACCTTTTACCATACTCCAATTTTTAAGATTTGTTTCAAACAACATTCCATAAATTCCAATACTAAACCAATTTAATGACGATTCAGATAATCCCTCAAGATGATCAACCTGATGCAAACATTTCTGATGATATTGTATCAAATTCTGATAAACTTCAAAACTCTGAGGTATTTTAAACGAGGCTGTCCACGAGGATAGCTGTATTTTTTATGGGTTGTCAATTAAGTCGATACTTAACTTTGTAACTTCCTTTGCTTCAGTTACATTAATTTATAAATTCAAAACTTTACAAATAATTAACATCACTCTATAAAATCAAATGTTAAACAATTTAATTACGTTGTAGATAACCCCCCAAGATGATCTACCCGATGGAATCAAGTCTGGTGGTATTGAAACAAATTTTGTTTTGGTAAAACACTCGGAGGTAATCCTTGTTCATCTGATCCGTATCCATGTGGATACCTGGTTTTAATAATACTCTAACAACCTGTCACCAGATTGAAACCACCTCTATCTATCCTCCCAAAATTGACCCTCCTGTTCTCCAAGACTCTCTCAACGTCTCCATTCAAGGCCCAGTTTCTCCAGTGACCAAGGTATTTTTATCTTGTATTTTCACATAAAACTTTATGCCCATTTTGTTTATCTTACCACTTGTTTCTTCCTCATGTAGATGGCCGCAGATACTCAACAAGATAAAGATGTTGATATTGAAAATGATGATGATGAGGTATAATACCCTGGTGATCGTTTGAGTGTAGTTTTAATTTATGGTTTTCTCATTATATTTTCTTATAAAATCTCAGGATTCTGCAGTCAAAAGTGGAGATGTTGTTGATGTCAGTGATTCATCTCCTGCAAGAGAACGGAAGCCAACTACTTTGTCAGACAAAGAGGCCAAACTTGTTGAGTTGGTTCTAAATCTTCCAAGAAACTCACCTACAAAACAGTATGACCTGTTACCTCGTTTGGACAAAACATTTTTCAAAGTGTTCATGGACATCCTTCGAAAGGCACCACATACGTAATGACATTCCTTTTCCTTTTACTTTGGTTTCCTTTTCCTCTGTCTAACATTATGTTCTAATTTCAGGCAACACCTAACCCGCTGTGATATTGTGATAACCAACAAATTCCTAGTCCAGCTTGCCCAGCCAACCAATTGGGTTGATACCATGGTAAGACATGTCCCATACTTAATTACATTTTATTTCCCCAATGTTTAATATGGTTACTCCACTTGCCCATTTCTATCATTTTGCAGCACATGGAGGTTCTAGGGACTTTCCTAGATGAAAGGCACAAATTCACACTCTCTCAAGAACGCGCTGTAATTATCAAACCGTGGCTAGGCAACTACCTACAAGGGAAGTACCCTTCTTTCCTAGCTGCAAAACAAAAGTTGTGCGTTCAATGGAATCAACAGTTCAAGCGGGCTATTCCTGGATCTCCATCAGAATGGTTTGAAGAAATAAATCTTATCTTCATGCCAATGATTTGGAAAAACCAGCATTGGGTAGGACTGGCAATCAACTTAGGTACATGGTGTGTCGACATACTTGATCCAAACTACCCTCTAAACGATGATGACAAAGTCAACGAGTACATGGCACCTATTGTGGTCCAACTCCCGTATATAATTAACAAATTTTGCAAGCCACGTCTGTCTCAGGTACATGGCTTGGATCCTTTCCGTTGGACAAGAATGAAAGAGATCTATGTCAACGAGAGGAGTGGGGACTGTGGACCTCTGTCAATGAAGTTCATTGAAATATATGCCAATGGTGGAGATGCAGAGAAAATGGCTCTTATAACAGATGAAATTGTTGATGATTTCAGGGGCCAGTATGCTATAGATCTGTTTCAAGAACTTGTGGCACCTCTTTACAAATAGGTAGCTCAACTACTAATCTATGTAATTTGTTGTAGAGATTGTTGCTTCTTATCTCCTTTCCTTTTCCCTTCAAACTTATTTCTCGGCTAGCTCTATTTGTTTGATGTAAAATGTACATCATCATCTACTATTAATCTAGCTCCCCTAGATTTATAAGGATGTTATTTTTCCTTATATATTATTACAATATATGGCATGTGGATTTGTTTACATGGACTCGTTCCATTTCAGTAATCTTCCACATGGGTGAACAAGAGTAAAACCACATACACTACTCAATTGATGTTAAATCACCTTATGTTTCCTAAACCCTAAATTTATCTGCAGAACTATGGACTGTGGAATTTATGTCTTAGTTTTACACTTTGGCATCTGATTTACTGGTGTGGATAGTACATAATGGATTAATCATTTAACATACTGTCCACAATGAACAACTTATTAAAACGCTGCCGTTTTAAAGTTGGGAAATATCCTTAAAAATCTAGGGTCTCCGACTTCATCTCCTTAATCACTTTCTGTTGGCAAATATCAGTTCTTTCAATAAGTGCTTCAAATTAAAACCAAATCTCCAAATATCTTTTTTTAAAGGATCGTTCTGTGTATTTTTTTCTAAATGTCTTCTAACATTCCTTTTCCTTTAGTTACAGACATAGTTCGTCGGATTGGTATTTCCGGTTTTCGTCATCTCGGTCCATTCATCGCGGCTGGCCCTGAATGGTCAGCCATCGTTTTTTCTGCTGAAGTATTACCGGAGGTTTGTCTTGATGAGTCTCGTTCTGTCTGCTCTTTATGCATTGAAGGCTCACCGTACCGGCCATTTTTGCTTAGATGTGTACATTCTAACAACAACACTGCCAAATACATTGAAGGGTTACGACTAGCTGCACTTGTTGGCCCTTCTGTTCAATCTCTTGATATGCTTGGTGAAGCTGCGATTCACAACATACATTCCTATTTTGCTTTTGGCATTTTCTATGCTTTATGCGGAAATCCTTGTGAAGGAAGTATGATACTCAAAAAGTTTTTGGAGAAGTTTTCAACTTTCCAAGAAGCTGTTAATTGCGCTAACCAGGTGATGGCTCAGATATCAGACATGGGTCCAACAGGAAAGCATCTTTACCGAGGGTACGGGGGCTTAAACGTTATACCAGATTGTGGTTTAGTCCATTATGGGGCTTTGGATATTTGCCCATCTTGCTTTGTTCTATTTTATGTCTTTCAAATCCATGACTTGTGTTAGCTTTTGTTTCTATGGATAATCCTTTGTTTCATGATCTATTTTATATCTTAATGTGCCTTTTAAAATGACTGTTTTTATTCATTCACGTCTTGCAATCCATTGTTTACTGACCACACGGCTGATATATTCCGATTTACCAGCGTCTTGTACTAAATAAATGTTAAACAATAAATTACTACGAATGTTATTTCATTTTGTAGATTGTGGATTTGTATTCATGGACTCTTACAATGATATTCGATAAAGGCATTCGATAAAGACTTGTGTATTTTTATAAGCAGTTGCCTTTCAAATGAATCTTTTTATTGATACGCTGTTTTACAATCCATTGAGTACAGATCACACGGCTAACATCTTCCGATTTACCAGTGTTGGGTATTCAAAATAATGTTTGACAACTAATTACTACGAATTATATTATGTCAGTTACTGGTGGATTAGTATTCATGGACTCTTACAATGACATGAGATAATCTGATAATGTAACAAAATGCTTTTTGGGCAAATTTGTTTTTTCTTTTTTTAGACAATATCAGAATTACTCATACTCATCTTACACCAAAACGACGTAGTTCAAATTTAGGAATAAATTCTTTTTTTTTTTTTTGTCAGAAAGGAATAAATTCTAAATCTAGGGATTTCATCATAACAATCTTTTTGTTCTCCTCCAACATAAAGGTCCAAACAAGAAAATGGTAGATCGATTTCGAGGTATCCCGAAACTCTGCAACTGTGGCGAGGAAGTTGTGATGAAAACCTCAGCAACTCCAAGAAACCCTGGTCGCTTGTTTCATGCATGTCCTCTGGGATCCCCTGTAAGTAAATCAACTATCTTATATTATTTTTGCAACATTTATATCAGAATTAATTTCCGATTACACAGGAGAATAGGAACCATTTGTTCAAATGGACGGATACATGTATGGTAGAAGAGATTGAGGAGTTGATTACGAAAGTGGATAACATTGAGGGTGCTACACTCACATTGCAAAAAGGGTTAAATATTTGTGATTCCAACATAAGCACTTTGTCAGAGGAGACTCGGGCCTGTGATTCTGTTCTTCAGAAAGATATTGAAGACTTGAAAACGCAGCTTAGATGTATGAAAAAAATTATTGTTGTTTTCGCTTTGATCATTGTTTTATTTTTTTTCCTTTTTTAATTTTTTAGGACTTGTAAAACTATTATCATAGTAGTTGTTGTGTGATGATATATGTAATGTTGCATTTTAATTGACAGATTCTATTCCCCATCCATAAAGGATCATCCATTATAGTTGTAGTTTCCACCTTTTCCTCGGTTAACTGTAATCACACAATTCAAGCTAACTTCACTTTTTCAGTCCCATTTCTTGAAAAAAAAAAAAAATGCTAAATATCTTTCGTTTAGGCCATCAATTCAATTACATATATTTAAACTTTCTAATTGTCAACTCAGCCATAATTATAAAAACTTTAATTTATGTACCTATAACCTATTCCTACGCTTTAGGCCACATACATCACGTTAGCCAATACTGACACCTTTTACATCGCGAGTGACACTCCACATCAATACCTTTTGCTACGTCCGATGCTCGTTTGTGGACGAGATACTTTTAATCTACTATTCCTGTGGGCAGGCTATAATTTTTCCAACCATGCTTCCAAACCAATCAAAACGGCATTTTCTCGGCACTTTTACATATTTTATTTCTATTATATGGATAATAACCCATGGCCATAAACTAGAATTCTTTTACTTAAATTTGACCAAAATATTTACAAACTTTATAAAGGTTTGACATTGTACAATAACGTTTATATGGATAACAATAGATGGAAGAAAGAAAATATCTCATTCCATATTTAATTTTGCCGGACATTGAACTTTAAGAAATATATGGATAACATTAAATGGACACAAAGAAAGTTCTTAAATGTTATACATTCCCCTGCAACTTAAAGGTATTAGATAACCAAAAATAACATCCCGCTTACATCTAGGATTATCACCAAATAACTTATCAAAAAACATTGCTCATACTTTCATGAACTCTACACCAACATCCCGCTTACATCCTCCATAACTTAATCGACACACCTGTTGAATCTGTGCCCAACTCTCTTGCACCTAGGGCACCTTGGCCTCCCGACCCTTCCGGGCTGAAAAGATGGCTGCACCACGCACACATTCATGTCACCATGCGTTTATCATGTGTGACATTCCAACGGCATCTCATCTGAAAGTACCCTATCGTCGACTCATAACACAGTCCTTTGTGCTTCTCTACAAACTGTGCATACGGATTATTCGCGGCAAGACACTTTTGGTAGAAAGTGTAGTACTTTGAATGTGGCATTGACCACCACATGAAATGATGGTCCATATCGATGCGAACGGATGCTAAGGTTTTCTTCGACAGAACAGCATCCTTCCCCTCTCTCCCAGCGAGCAACAAGTTCTTCAACGCATCGACACCATCTTCACCAACCTTACTCACAATGATATCCATTAACGGCTGAGGAATGTGAAATTCTCTCCTTGGAATCTCCTACAAAATTAAAACAGATTCTTAAACTATCATTCTTACATAAGCATTATTCTAAAAACAGATTACAACAACCTCAATGACATTTGAACCCTCGCTCTCCTCATAGCTTTGGAGTACACCTCCCATAGTTAAACTTTCTTGTAAATCTCCCATTTTAACAAGAAATGCAAATTTATGATCTTTGGATTAGGTTGTGTTTCTGTTTATAACCTATTTATAGACTTTATTAAACCTATATGTTTAACCTTACCTCATAATGGGGGCTAATTCGCTTAATTTATTTTATTTATATTGGATTAAAATATGAGATCTCTTAAAATATCAATATCTTTACACATGGATTTTATATTGTGGTTAC